GGCCTACGTGTGAATAGGTCTATTTTCTCGTGGACCCTCTCTTAAAGCTAGAAGATTATGTACAAGAAAACGAGTTCTATTCTGTGTATTGATTGTTCTCATTTTTGCCACTACATTCAATTGTCATTTACTTTTACCAACATTTGGAACTCTAGTAGGATTAAATACTTGCGGCCCTATAACAAATTCAACATATATATTTTTTTTCCGACAGGTATTTCATAATTTTGAGATGTGAATGAATGAAATAAGTTTATTTTTTTATTGTTTAGATTTGGAGCATTTTATCACCATGTTTACAAACTATTTTCCCTACAGTTAGCCTCTTGATTGTAACAATTGATATGTTTATTCGTCTTCGATTACAAGAAAAACGACGACAAAGATTAAATCAAGGTCGTCATCGTGCTTTTATTGATCGACAAATGTTAATAATTATGTTAACAAGTATTTTTTTATTTTTCTCAACACAAATTCCATTGACTTTATTTAATATTCTTCTGACACCTATTCTACGATTTCAACTTTCACTGACTCAAGTAGTTCAAATGACATCAATTTTTAATTTTATTGCAGCAATTAATTACGCTGTAAGACAAAAACTTATTTTTATTAAAAGAATGAAAAAAAACGATGATAGATTGATTTTTATTTTAGACGACATTCTATGTTCATTGTTTGACTAGTGGATTATTTCGACGAGAATTTTACAATACTTTACATTGTTGTTTAAGAAATAACAATAGACGTGTTCATCCTCGGATACAAATCGTGAGTAATCAAATAGCTCAAGCACAAAATGGATTAACAAGAATGCGAGAAACAAAAAATTAACAAGATTATTCCGTCGAACCCATAGAATAAATATAAGTTTTGTCTTTTAGACTTAAACATTCTTAACTTGATGTCACATAATAAAATATACTGATTGTTGTATCCATTGAATATGTGGTTCGTTCTTGTAGGTGTCGGTGTGTGGGTGGATCATAAACTGCTTTTACTCTCATTCGCACCCACACC